GATATTAGGTAGGTACTTCTTCCAGATACTCTAACCGGCACTTCTGAATACTACTTTTGTTTAAGTAAAAACCGTCTGGCGAGACTAGGATTTCAGTCTATCAAAGCTAATGGCGCTAGTGAATTATCAAGTTCAAGTTTGTCATGAAAATAAATATCACACACATTTCATCAAGTTTCGTGAGTACCATGATCTTCTATAGAATCAATAATAACTTTATCTTTAAATGACTAACACTATTGCTGCCAGAAATTACTGAGATTCAGAGGACTCGACATAGTTACCTGCATGAAGAACTACTGTTAATTATGTTTATTATATCTTCTTCAGGGGTGTCTTTATCTTATAGTGCAGGGCCTGCAGGCTACTCGGGCGCCAAGTATCACCTAGGAATGCTGAGAGATCGTGACACCATAAAATCACAATTTAAAAGTACGCGCGCATTAAAGAATTTTTCTTTTTGGTAATAAGTACTGAAAAGAAACTCACTCGGATATCTATAGAGGGCGCCATTATATTGACTGCACACACGCGCTATAAGAGTTAGAGACGCCCCTGATCATATTTGTTGATGTTCGTAGTTGTTTAGCGAATAAATGTTATTGCTAAGCAGTAGAGGCGGTTACCTGCGAGACGGGACCCTGGTTGGGGTGGAGCGAATGCATCGGAGATTGCGACTTCGCCATCAAACTTAATTATAGACTGGTCGTGGTAAGTCATAATATCGATGTTTCTTTTCCTTTCCTACTATTTTTAGGACTTTTACAGAGACAAGTTGACGATCGATCATCGAAATGAAAGACTAGATCAAGATTTTTTTACATTTGTCAATGGGATGTGCATCTAGCTTCTTTAAATCTATGCAGCTAGATTGTTTGCGTCTCTTATTTTGGGAATGATTAGTAGACTTTGACTTGAGGCTCTTCCCTTTCAGCGCCTGGAAAACTTTATAAGAGTAGATAGGATATTTTTACAAGTTTATGCGACATCGTAGAATTTATTTATGTCGGCTATGTTGATGTTGTACGCTTTATCTCTATATTTTCTGTGCCTAACTTAGCGATATTAAATGTTCCGAGAATTCCAGCGGTAGCACTAGCAACCAATACGTAAACTTGCTTATTTTGTAGATTGTATTCTTATCTTTTCAAGTTTATGGCTATTTGAGAATTTCGATAAGCGTCTAATGATCGGTTTACTTTTAATTATTTCTCTCATTAGACTCGCCGTATTAACACCGAAATATAAATTATGTAACGAGATTTGCAATTCTAATTTGATTTGTAACGCATACGCATGTAGACATGTTCGATTATTATTTGCATTTTTTCCGCTAAAAATTATAGAGAAAATTCATCACGCTGATTAAAAAACAATTTTGTAATTTTCACACAAATTAAAATCCCTGCAGTTTGTGAACTAAAATATAATTATACTCTCTGGAGTTTGCCCTTTGGGTGTCCATTTTCTCCTTGGGCATTCCTTATCCATTGTTCCTTTTAGGCAGGTATGTTCTTTTCAAGAGGGTCACGGAATACTTATGTAGGTTTGCTAGGATCCAAAGAACAAGCACGTACTGGTGTCGTAGTGAGATATAGATCTTATTTGAGAAGAATAGTTTCCCAGCATTAAATAACAGAGGATATTTTTGTGTGCCCAACAGCGCCCTGGAAGAGGCTGTCGTCGTCTAATGAAAAGTCGCGCGTGTCGCCCAACGCACTGCCAAAAGGTTATTTCAAACAATTCGGTTGAAAGTGCCGAAAATCTTAATTACGATGACGATTAGACGTAAGATGTTTATTAGTAGAACACATTTCATTCAATAGTTAGTAGTACGCATAAATTAATGCGCAATATTTATCCCGTATGTTTACCTAATGTCCTTATAATCAAACAATGTTACAATGTTAGTCGATTCAAATTCAGTAACACATGTAATCACAATAAATATAATATAATAAATATCTACTCAACATACTTACTTAATAAATGTCTTGTTGTTGGAACAAATATTGTTTTATTTCATTGTCATTCAATTGAAGTAAATATCATTTGTTATACACATGAAAATGATTATGCATAACTAATTGTGTTGTAAAGGGCTATTATTCACTATTCAGTCGGTGGTGTGGTGACGTTGCGTTTCGCTTGGTTATTTGTAAATATTTTGTTTTGTATTTTTTTTTTGTTTTCCCTAACGTACATGGTGCAAGTACCTTCTGTTCATTCTATTGTCTTTAAACCGCAAATGTTCTTATATTGTTTTTTGCTATTGGGTAAAACGTTATTGAAACAATACATGGGTACCTAAATCTAGGTATATTTTAGAAAATTTGGTCAAACAGGTACGTCTAAAACCTCTAACCCCGAGGGAAACGGGAACTAAAGATTGTCTTCTTTTCTATTGATTATTGATTATTTCGCTACGTGCGGTAAACCAGTTGTCCCTGGGACTTCGGGACTTCAATGTTTCAGTGTTTTTATAGCTGGTCTCCTCTGTAGATTTTAGTTTACAAGAGTTGCAATATAGGATTGAAATTAGGCATTAAAAAACTTTATATACGCAAGCGTATTACGAATCGAATAACTAATTGGCTAACGCTGAATTATCTAACGTCATTCAATTTTAAGTCGCGCTTAAATATAGTTCTGTCACTACAAATTCTTTGTAAAATGAAATAGAGAAGGCACGGCACTATATTTAAGTACAACTTCAAATTGTAGCATTTCAATATTCGATCGTAAGTATATTGAGACTAAGAGTAAAATGTTTTGAATTTTTGGAAGTATGCTGGTTCTGATAACATCACGCCTTTTATCCGGAAGGGGTCGACAGAGGTGCACAACACGGCATTTAATGCCACTGTACAATGTAACACCGACTTTTCACTATTTATGTTACGAGTCCCATGTAATAGGGGGTGAGCCTATTGCTATATACCGGGCACAGTTCCAGACTCCGTGCTACTACTGAGAATAAAAAATATACTCAGTTATACTTTGCCCGACGCGGGAATCGAACCCGAGACCCCTTGCCTGGCAGTCGCACTTGCGAACACTCGGTCAACACGGCAGCCAGAGATCTGACCCACAGCCCGCAGGAGATATATATAGATGGAAATTAATTATAATTGACGGATCGTTTTACTGGATTCTTAACTGAACAGTACCAGTCAAGTACTTCAGCCAGCAACTACGTTAGGGTAGAATATCTAAACACTAAAAGAAAATTACAACATAATTATATTAAGTAATCAATTTAATTTTCAATTTGTTTTCAAATCAATACTTAGTCAACAAAAACTTTGTACACAAAACACTTACAAACTATTATTATTTGTTAACATTCTTATCTATGGACAATAAAAATACAATATTACTATCTATGAATCGCCTAACTAATTTTCCTTAATATAATACTGTAAAGGAACATCACAGTCGCTTTGTACGCCATCTCTATAACCGTCTCATAAGAACTTGTGTATAAGTCGTTGTTTTCGATTGCACGACATTTAGGGAACAAAATAGACTGTATAATGTCGTTTCTTAATAATTTTTTATTGGCCTGAATGTATTATGAAGATAGGGATATGGGTTGACGTAAACTATTATACGTACTTACAAGATTAAATTGTTTGCAAGTTACATGCGAACTGGTGTGTTTGGATACAGGTTTCTCCATAACATAAGAGTCGGTGGCATTACAATTTCACCGCTAACAACAGATTTTTTCGTCATCGTAATGGCTCCATAACAATACCTTTTTTTTGACAACAATAACTCGTCATTAGAGTGTATTATGATGATGTCGGTGTAGTTGGCGGGAACGGGCGCGCGAGTGCACTTGACTGACAATGTGGCTCGTCAGCCATGTTTTTATTCATTACACTTTCACTGTTGTAGGCTGACTCTGTTATTTACCACGATTAGAAATTTCGCCGCTTACCGCGACACAAGACAAGCTTCTTTGGTTGTATTCTTAAATTATAGATATCTACCTACTTACAGCTTGTTTCATCATGTTTTATTTTATGAATAACGTTTAATTTTTTCTAAGTAAAGTTATGTGGTACTTGGGTAACTTCATATACAAATATACATCCGTTCCTCTTAACTCTTGTATGTCGGTATATGAGACACATTGTGTCTCGCGTACTCTACGTTCGGCATACCACGGGTTAATCAATTTGAACATTAATTGAACACTGTTCCAAGTAATTAAAAAATATATCTCTATTAATTATGAATTAGGCACAAAGGTAGGTGATTAGGTATTTATTCTACCAAAACATGTATTCATTTACTGTTTGGTAATTACCGTAGAAAAATAATTTTACGCCCACGGACTTAAAGTACCAACAAATCAGTTTTGTATATTATTACGGACCTGTAAGCGTTACAGTTAATATACGAAACTGATTGGTTTCACCCAACTTGACTAATTTTCTGAATATTATCTACTTAATTTAAATTAAACTTACTTTTATCGCCTACTATTTACAACGCAATTTCATTAAAATACGGCAAGATTAAATACGTTAGGAAAGTTCTGTTTAGAACTATCGATTTGTGTTGCACTATCTAAGTATCTATCCGTTCAGATATTATTGTTATATCTCCTGCAATGGTCACTTTGTGAGAGGCATCTTTACTTTGGTTTATATTCTAACCGTGGAAGGTAAATTCTGCCAGTTACAAATTCATTAAAAATCATAATATAGTATTTTGTATAAGAACGTACAGAATACCCAATTCTGCCTTGCTATGCACGTATAATGTACAGTACCAGGCGATAAATATTGCACATTGGTTTTTGAAAACAGACAATTTTGTGTGATACCACTCTCCTCCGAAAGGATCGTAAATCTTTTTATTCGGAGAAGAATGGTGTCAGCGGCTCATAATCATAAGCCGTAGACATGGCAACTTGGCCGATTGTGGCTTTCCAAAGGTTGATGTGCAATATTTAACGCCGGGCAGTGTAGTATGTTATTGTGTAACTAAATGCGAGTGACGGTGGGCAGGCGAGGTGGCTCACAACACCTGGGAGCAGTGCACTCCTTGGCACACGGACACGAACACCCTTGATTCGCAAAGTCTATTAACGCCTTTTTCTCTTCATCTGTACCTGCGTAAAAATAAAAAGTTCTATCATTAAAACAAGTTAAAAGTGTGATCGTTATCATAACAAGGGTTATTGTACAGACAGCAACTCATCAACCTACCCAAACAGTCCCAGTCCTTCAATAGATTTCAGAGTTTATTGCAAAATTATAAGGTTCAAAATCTATCTGTTAATTTGACGTCCTAAACGATCGATTTTGATGGGCACTTACCTAGCATAGAGGTGAGTGTAAACTCTGGCTGTAGCGTGACTAGACCGATGCCGTGACGCTTGAATATATCACAAACTAACGCGGAACTCTTCAAGTAATCCTGAAACGTAACATAAGTTGGTTTTGTTAGGCGAAAACTTATCTAAGCTGTAGAACTTACTAGGCACTTATTAACTTAGCTACTTTAAAGTCGTGACTTTACATTCGTGGTAGTATAAAATGTATGATCAGATTTTCGTCCGCGGATTAAATCTTACGATCAAGTTACATATTTCTTTAGGTTTAATTAAGGAAAAACCAGAGCCGGATTGCCACTTGCAACATTCAGATAAATTAACTCAGAAGACCATACCGGGCCCCGCGCATGCTTAATCTACCACTGATTAAAACAATAAGTTATTGTTAACAACCATACAAACAGCACAGCGTAGGTAAAGTCAATATAATTAATTGATTACATTTCTATACTAACGATGTCAGGGTAAAATTAGATCCATAAGCAAACATTTACACAATAACTGTCTTTAAAAACATTATAATAGGTTTGAAATATGAATTGTTATTCACCTCGTGTGAGCTGTAGGCCACATGAGCAGTGGCGACGACCTTGTCACGGTGCATTTGCCAGACGTGCAGTTCATGTATGGCCAGGACCCCAGGGACCCGCAGCGCTGCGGCCCGCAGGTCGCAAGTGCCCAGACCTTCTGGCACTGTCTGCAGCAGCACCAAACCCGCTGACCGCACTGTACGGAACAAAATATTGCTTAAATCAGTAAAAAAGTAAAGTAAGCGAAAACACCAGAAGATGACTTTGAGGACCAACAAGTTGGTTTTTCTGATATGTTAGTATAGTGACAAGGATTGAAAAGGGAATGTTACGCTGGTTTGGACATGTAGAAAGGATGGATGAAAGTAGAGTAACGAAAGAAGTATACAGAGCGGATATGAATGGAGCCGTCGGTAGAGGGCGCCCTAGACGGACATATAGTGACCAGATTGGCGATATATTAAAGAAGGGCCAAATTAAAAGTACCCTTAACCGACGAGCATGCATGAAAAGATTGATGACTGTTAATGAAGCGAAAGAGGTATGTAAGAATCGTAGTAATTGGCGGTCCTTAGTCTCTGCCTACCCCCATGGGAGACCGGCGTGAAGTTATGTATGTATGTATGTATGTATATTAGTATACCTACTTACGTAACAGATTATTTATTCATTTGATACTGCAAGTGCCTCTATTGTTTTTGAGACAATGCATTTCCTTTTCTTTCTCCTCAGTCCTAATTATTCATCAATAGTCTACATACAGTTATACGTAAGTACGTAGTGATAAGTACCTACCTCATAATATTTTAGTACTTCTTATTCTTAAAGTACAACTAAATTATCATGTAGCGGTGAATATATATTTTAATCTACATATTTTACTTTTCGTCATTTTAATAGCTTACTTATCTATAAAAATATCTAACAATCTATTTGTAGTCAGTAGTTGTAAACTCCATATCTGATACTTATATCAGCTACTAGCATTATATTGTTACGATATGATACGATCGTGTTGGTAACCGAAAGTCGAAACTATTACCTATCTTGTATCTACATACATTAATATACGTGCCGTTGATAGTCTATTATGGACTTATTGTATATTTTTGTATCCCAGCCTCATATAAATCGATCTTCGAAACTGATTCGTTACTATCTACTATAGCTAATTAAAGTAGGTTAGTAAGTTTCGTGTTATTCTCAGCAAAGTTGTCGATGAACGACTGGTAATTTATAGTCACGAATTGATTTAATGTCGTGATGAAATACTGAAGAAATTTCTTGATCGTAACAGTTGGAGAGCGAGCTCACCCTTATGAAATAATGGAAACATCGACCATTAGTCCTCACGGTTACAGAGCATTTGCGTAATCCTACGTTGCTTGCGTCGGATAGCGATTGTTTCCACTTCAGTTACGACTAATAGACGATATTAGACTATGGGCAATGATTCACACCGAGCCACATCGCTGCCGATTACCCACTTCCCATATAATTTGACAAAATTCGTACATTTTCATCAATGTAGGTACACGTGCCACACAAACGGACAAACAGTAATTAATTATTATAATTTTTCCACACATAATTGTTATCTTATCACGACTGGTAAAAAGCCGATATACGAACAGGCAAATACATAGGTCGTCATATACCTATAATGTATAACGGTGGCAATAAAAATTATATACTCTGATATCGGTCTGGGCTAATTTAGAGGATCTAATCAACGGTTTATTTAAGTAATTGAAGATAGCCTTTGTTCTATATTGTTGTATAACTAGAATAATTAAATATGCAAAAAATGGTGATTATTTTTATTGATATTGTAGAAAAAGAAACCGAAATGCTGTGCCGGGCTATCATTACCTCAGGACCAATAATTTGTACCTAGATAGTGGTAAGGCGTAATTAATATTAGAAGTGCCCATAGGTACTCTCTTGGTGTTACATTAAGAACAATAGCAATTATGATGTTCTTCACAATCTTGTCGATTTATTGAATAGAAGGATGATGCTGGGAAGGATGTTTAACCCTATTCTTAGTCTTAATTAGCAACTTAAGTATACAAGCTGATTGGTTGATTATTGAATACTCTTAACAGTTTGCACTTACTGAATGGATAGTTGAAGATGACGAGAACGATGGCTGCGCAGGCGGAGAGCGCAGGGTCGGCGATGCGAGCAGCGACTGGCTCCCATTCGTTGGTCAGACCAGCACCCATCACGAACAGACTGCCTAGGAAATAAAAATATTCTCAGTAGTGCCCTTCATCTGCAGGGAAAATCATCAAATGACTTCTGGGGCGGGAAGGTCAGTCAGTCTGCTGACTGAAAACCACCTCGATTCAGCTTCTGCTCTTTGCTGGGACCGTGGTATATGATTAGCCTCTCACAACCCTAGCAGAGTAGAATAGAGCCAGGTGTATACCGGTGTGTGACGATAAATCACCATTAAAATGGACGTCTGAATGGCAAAATGTAAGTGTTACATTTATTAACATACTACGTCGGTCATAAGGAAATATTTGTGAGCTTGTAAGTATTTGTATCTGCAACATCATCCGAAAATTCAATTAGGCCTCTGTACACATTCTAATGTTATGCAAATATTTATTATGCATAAAGCTTAATAAATAAATCATTAGGTAGTTGGTACTGACTGAGAAGAGAGACGAACACATAAAAATTAAGACGACATGCCGAAATAAGAGTCTCACATTTTCCTTAAGAGTTTGACAGAATAAGAACTATTGTGGAGGTTCATTGCACTTATAAAGATTCAATCAATCCTATGTTGTTAAGATTCATTCAATTCATTAATACCTTGTCATGTTTACTACGCGCTACGCTACTAGTCTACAACTGACTCAATCTCAAATCAACAGTTACAAAACAAACATTAATAAAACAACACGTGTAGACGATTTACATGAAATTAGCTGACGCAGTACTTTATTAAATTGTATCATTATTTGCTCTGACATGAGAGCTCTAGATATTTAAAACATCTAGGCAATTAAAGTCTGCTGCATAATAAATACATATGTTTGTTTTGATTAACTTTTCAAATAACAGTAAGACTAATTTAAATAAACAGATAATTTCTATTTGGATTTCATTTTGTTAAAAATGGATGATATAATATTTTTAGATGGTTTAGCTTATTGTAGCAGAGGCACAGGGGACATAGGCAAATAAGACATTTGAATTCATTTGATGATGCCTCCACATTGGAGCTTAGTAGAATACACTTTGGACTTTATTAAAATAGAACTAAGGTAGTAAACTTACTGGCGATATCAGTGGGTGCATGAGCAAGTACAGGCTCTCCGGATCCAGTCTTCAGCACAACTCCTCCTCCTTCAGTGACGCTCAGTCGCCGGCTGTAGCTCAACTCACGTCCTATAAACATGCGTAACAGATTATATCAAAACAAATGTATAATACCTAAAATACCTACTATAACATAGAGTATAATATTTAGAAAGCTAGCAGCCAAAAATTAAATTAAAAAAGAAATGTTTTGCATTTGAAAGTCTGATTCTTGAGAAAGACTCCCAGAAGTCACATTGCAACATTTGATTTGACTTGATCATCATCACTTGATTGAAAAGTTTTTTAGGATGGTAACGTATTCGGTTTTGGAAAATTGAGTGTAAAGAGATTAAAAATATAACTTAACGAATAATATTTTGACAGTGTAAAGTTTGTCTGGCCTTAGGAGGAAAAATAGGAAATTATAAAATTTGTCCAACTGAAAAATGGCTTCCGGACTTCGTAATCGCTTCGAGAAAAAGGTTTTTCAAACTGCGGGGCACATTTTGCACAAAACGAGGATATTGCGTTTTCTGTCATCGTAGAATTCATTTAAATTATGACTAAAACAGCAGCTAAAGTTACTTTAATCTTAATTATTATCAGCTAGAGTCTAGAGTCTAGCCTAAGTGCCCAAGATTGTCCAGCCAGCAAGTAGCCAGGCGCCCTAGGCTGTGCCCGAAGTATTTGCTCAGTTTGCCTTAGAGACAATACGTCAATGGCTAGACTGAACTAAATGGAATAAACAGTAGCGTTATGTTCTAGGCGTTATATCTATCAGGTACTAATGTAGAAAGCTTATGCCTTACATAATAAAAAAGATCCTATATGATTTCCAGCTAATCTAACATCGTCGCCTTTTTCCGTAGTGAATTTGAGCCTAAAGTCTAGTAGTTCAGTTGAGGAGCCACATACATACGGTAGCTAATAATGTCATCATGATCATTGTTATAGTTTGCATGTTATGCAATGTTAGATGCTCTGTTTACTACAAGAATCAGTCTCACGCATGTTTAAATATCTATTGTTTGCAGAGCACTGTCGAGCTACTTTATGAGGAAGCCATTGATTTACGATGTTATGTTTTGGTAAGAGTAATATCCTTGTGTTTACATTTACATAGGCACGTAGGTACTTATAATTCACTAGGTACTAAAGTTGTTTAAACATTATGTATTGCTAGATAACTTTAGAAAACCATACATCTGCATCAACTGCGTATGATCATACGTTTTTGAATATCAACATTTTTGAAAAGGGATGTAAAAACAATTAGATCACCGACTCAACTCAGGCTTTGCTTTGCTCGTGTAGGGAAAATCATAATTATTATACATCGGAACCTTCCTTGTTCACACACACATTATCCAATGGCGAAAACTACAAAAACCGTCGAGCATTTTTTGAGTTTATCGCCTTCATATGGACTGACGCGAAAAGACGTATGTATCAGTATACGCTATAGCGTATAGACTTATATTACGACCCGGAACAGGTAGTACAGTAAATTCTCGTGCTACAGTATTGTTTTGGATTGCGTTCTGTACACAGAGAAAGCCGATCATTTTCTTCCGCAAAATGTTTATAGCGCGCTTAGAGGCTGTCACGTGCGCTTGCACAGCACTAAACACCTTAACTTTATAATCGATTTAATGTTTCTATTGGATAGTTTATCGAAAGGTCGGTCTACAAATATTTTAGTTTAGCAACTATTGCAACTTTGAAACATTTAATAATGAAATGTGTTCTAAAGTCTCAAATATATCAGAACAACACCACTTAAATTATATTTTTTACCGACTTCAAAAAAGGAGGAGGTACTATGTTTGACCGATTGTTTTTTTTAAGGAGGAGGTACTATGTTTGACCGATTGTTTTTTTATTTGTTTACTCCGCCATTTGTGAACCGACGGCGCCGACTTCTAATCTATCAGTGGGTGGGTAACCTATCAGTAGGTACTAATGATAGTTATTTTTTCCTTTTTAATTTTGACTTTTTGTTTGTTATTAGTTTTTGGTATTTTGGTATGTGGTCCAGGGTAATAAAACTCCTATGTCAAATAGCGAGCCTTTGATTCTAGAAAGTATCATATAGGTATTTATTTCATTAAGATTATATTACAAGAAATCTTACTTAAAATAGGTACCTAATATTGAACGAGTGTCCATTTAGTGTATCTATTAGACTTGCTTCTTTTTACAAGGCACTAACATCGTTAATAATGGGTGCACTCTGGCAATTATTACGACATCCGCATTATGACATACCATACCATCTCTATGTTCTTAAGTTAACAGGATTGTTAATAGCATTCGCATCACATAGTATCTAATCTAAACATACTAATTAGAGTACTCAGAGATATTTAACGGATACCTAATCGATTCCTTAGTAAGGATTTTGTTTCGAAAACAATTGCTAAGGACTGGGTTAAGGAGCCATTAAATGACGCTGAGTACGGCGGTAAGTGCGTTTTCAAATTTAAGTAAAAAGGAATCGTTGGATGCAGGGCGCTTCTAACCGGCCAATCTGGAGGCTGGAAGAGGCCTATGTTAATCTAACGTTGTTTCTATAAGAACTTTATTCATCTAGGAGATATTTACTAAATAAATTATTATGTTTTCGGCTTACTCACATAATAATTTGACGAGGAACTCGACTTAGCAGCGCGACAGTCGCCGCGTTGCGGGTCGCGATATGCCGCTCATGAATATGAGCCTCTAGCATGGATTGAAACTAGTCGAGTTCCTCTTCAAATTATTACGGCAGTAAGCCGAAAACATAATAATTTATTTAGTATGTCTCACGAAAGTTACAATATTGAGATATTTGCTATTTAAAAATATTTTATACTATTTTTGAGGCGCAATACGGTACCGTAACAAAACAAAATCACTTTGTAAAAGAATTCCATCATGTTTTCATATATCGAGGAAAGTGTTGTGCATTAGGTAATGTTATGTTCACATAGCTAATGGTTAGCTGTAGCGGTTAAAGCTATTTATGAAAACATGAAAATATAATCAAATTCAGATTATACTTAGGTACGATCTTGTTCGATTTATTTTTGCTGAATATACTGTACGATCTTAATAAAAGAAGTGAGGACCTATCTACAATCTTATGTCTCTTAACACTCGAAACAAGATTTGTTTTGGTTCCGCTGTAGTCTTCTTTGTTGTTTAACCAATGTGTTAACCTAAATTAGATTTATTCAGACATAACATCAATTCCCACAAGAGTGAAAATCAATCTAGTACTTATACCTAATCAAGGTAGGTTCGATTTATATCTATACATAATTATTATAATTTAAGCATGACACTTAATACTTATTGGACATATTATAGAAATTCTTAAACTAGTAGTACTTTAAGTAATTCTGAACAACAAACCACGCTATCAGGTGTTAGGTGATGCATGGGAACTGTGTTTATTTGGATGAAGAAACCAGATCCCTAACTACGAGTGTGTGACTGTGGTGGAAGGTTGTTTTACTGTATTTTAGACAACAAATCCTACTAATTGCATGTTGATGTGCCATCATATTAAGTAGATAATGATGAGAAATCCACTGCATTACATAATATTCAAAATATTGATGTTTGACACAAGACACAATCCAAATCAAAAGAGAGAACAATGCACCTTTATGTTACGCCGTTTGTTATGTCCGGAAGGAGGAAATTACGAACATCCAAACAAAATATGTAGGTAAGTAGATAATCTCAGAACTAAAGTTACCTGCTAATAACATGTAATTGATGGCGTGTAGAAGCAATCCTATGACTGCACTGCCGACGATGACTTTGGGGTATCTCGGCGGCTGGCCGTGTGAGGAGTGCACGCCCAGCTGGAGCGCGTTCACCACGAGTGCTAAGGCGAAGGATGCGAAGAGGACGTGCACGGAGAGACGGCCCACTACTTCAATGCGCGCCCATCCGAACGTGTTCCTTAACCGACCTTCCCGACCAGCTCCCTCGTCTGCGCGCTCATACTGCACAGTGCAAAAACAGTATTACAGTAAATCGAACCACTCTTTGATTGAAACATATCTATGGTATTTAAATTGAAGATAAAATTAATGAAGTAAGTACTTCTACAATATATTCGTGTGGGGTAACGTTTTTTAAAAAAGAAAAAAGATTCCCAAGAGGTAACAAGTTTTCATGACGGGACATTCGAGAGAACTATAATATTCAAGATTATTGAACTGAGAATATTTCGTAGGATTTCACGCAATACCGTGAGATCGATGTGATAATTCCAGGAGTTAGATTAAACTATTTGAGTATGAAACATTTCACAAGATAACGTTACCAGTTGAACTCGTGATTTCGCAAGTTATCAGCAAGTTTATTTGCCCATAAAATATCCCATAAAAGCGAACTATGAACACGAAATGAAAGGTGAAATGAGCCAAGAGGTAGAATATATGAAGTGTGAATTAGGTACATTGGCGATTTGATCTATGTAATAGTATTACACAAATGTTTAATTTATTTTATTTATTTTGTGTTTTCAAAGGAACTTTAATTAAATTAAGCAAGGTTAAGTTATTAACTTGCGCATCTTTATCATATCTGTTCCAAACTCAAATATTTTGGTATGTCTTGAATTTATCTTATCTATATCCAGACTGAACTTTGAACTACATTAACACAGTCACGTTTCTTTTATACACAACAGACGTTTGTCTATTTTGGTGCACAAAGAAAATAATGCGAATTCAAACCTTGTATGAGATCAACGTGGTGACGAGTCCGACGAGCCGACATAGTGAGTGGCACGTGTCTACGAGGAGGGTCGGTGAGTGCGTGAAGTGCGAAGCGAACAACCGGCCGCTGAAGCCAGCTATAGCCAGCAGCAGCGCCAACAGGGACCTCGGCGGCGGCAGCCATTGTAGCCACTCTTTCATCGCCATCTTGCTGCTCTTCAAAACTAGGGATAAAGAAATGTATCACTTTTATTAATTCAATATTTGTTCACTAATCCATCATCAAGTACGTATCCACGATGTCGCCCAGTATCTTACAATCATCCATTTAAAAAATCTTTCTTATTGGTATGTTATTCCTTAAATAATTATAATCAATTCAAATTTTCTCACTTCCCCCACACTTTCCAAAATTTTATTATAATCATTTCGTAATACTCTCTTATTAAGGATTTCCTTCACTCAAGTAATGTAACTATAGTGTCGCGTCAGTTTGTCTAATTGAAGATCGCTACGAAGGTAGATATATTTTCATAGCCTAATACATAATATAAGCAAGGAAGTCTATCAGGTATCTATCTGCATAGTTTAAATAAACGTCCATTATGTTTGATCAATCGAATAGACTGGAACAAAATATGTCACGATGTATTTTAATCGACATTTGACAATGGACAACGTCGTTTCGTATGTTGATATTAAAGTACCTACTCAGCAATGCTCATTATATCAATGAAAGACAATCGTTGAAAATATGTATAATGCGCAAAAACTAAATTAGAAATCCACATTTACGAGGTATTCAATACTTTATTAGAGAAGATCCTTTTCCATATTTATTAAGACGAATTAAAAATTCTATGCGCATATGATTTAAATAAAACCAGTTGAAAGTTGGTGGGTGTCAAATGATGTGAGATGATGTTGGTCAAACAATGTAGGTCAAAGTTTTTTTGTCACATAAACCAGTTGGGACAGTTCAATAACTCCATTCTGAGTACATACCGAGACTGATTAATGCGGAAACACTATTGTACTTATTTGAGGGGTTAAGGTACTATTTGGACTCGAAATACTCCTGAAGGACAGAAAGCTTGTCATAGGTACACTTACTAGCGTTTAATAATCCCTGGTATGCCGGGGACGTACATATACGAGAGACACAATGTGTCTTCTATTGTGTCGCACATAATCAGTTAATTTTGTGGAATGAAATTGTCATTGGACAGTTTTTAGTATGGAAGAATTATCATTATTATTCCTCAGTTAAAATTTATCTGGCGTTGGTAAAATCGGCCCTTAGAAATGTAGAAAAATATTCAAGTAAGTGGATAATTTAAAGCTTTTAACTAGAGAGGAGCTGACGACGGGACGATCAAGTTTTTTGTTGGACGCAGCTGCAGTGAGTGACAGTGATGTTCTAATGAGCAACATGCAGAAATAGCGATTACAGTTAGCGGATAATGAAAGTTGTTATGGTTAGGCATGTGTCAGACCTTTTTACACGTTCTGTCTGCCGGATAGAGCCAGACATGTTTGAATAGTTATCTCCATCGCTTAATCTGTTATGTGTTTAAAAATAAAGGAATTTGGACATCTCTTCATAATGTGTCTGCAAATAAACGTCGTTGTGCCAAAAGCGTTGAAAAGTTAAAATGTCTGTGGTAAGATTTTTTTATACTAAGTGTTATAGTCAACAGGGTTAGTATGGTGTTATATAAAATATAGAAAATAAAGTGATAAAAGTGTCATCGTTAGGCTACTGTACATGTTGTGACACCTTAAAATGTTGTGCATTTAAAATTTATTACAACGCCAGTGCTTAGATATAAGACGTAATGTAGCAACTACTGGTTGTCCAAATTATAAATAAATAAATAAGGGGAATAAAATATCTTTGATTTTATCAAGGGACTTCGTACCTACTTTCAGAATCAGCAGAAGCAATTAGCTATTAGATACTAAATTCCGACAGTTGCGAGAAATCAATCATCAAATCACTGATTGCTGTTGCATATTGTTCTGGTGTTTTATGTAATAACAATATTTATGTTCGGTATCATATTATAAACCAGAAGTGGTCAATAACTGAACGTTAGTGGAGACCTAACTTTTGGGTTGGAGGAGCCCAGTGATTTACAGACCGCCTTGATCGGCTTCGTAGCGACCTGCATCTATCCGCTGCTTACGACCTATATTGGTTTGATTATACGTTGTTTTTTTCCAAATAATGATTATATTGATATTCACACCGTTATGTAAGTATAGCATCTATTGTCATTGCATCGTAGATTGGTCGTTGAGCCTCAGACCGGAAACCAGTGCGGTTTCGGACGATGACCCGTGCAGTATGAACTACACGTACCTTGAATATACGTACCTAGGTAATGACCTGCTAAATATCAAACGCACATTGATAAACAAAATCAGTGGTAACGTACCCATCGAAAAGATGTGCCTACATACAGGGTGGCTGGGAGTTGTCGTTCAAGCGTAAAGTATAGATACATTTTGATGAAGAGTATCCAAATCCCCAAATATGTTCTACGATTTTACGTAGCTTTCGAGTTATAATTTTTGTAATGATTTCTTCCTTAATTTTCACCTAACATAAGTTTTTGATTTTTTCACATTCTATTGGACGAATCTGATTCAGTTGTTTCGTGATAACTGACTAACATAGTCTAACCTAGCACCCTAAAAATTACGGTTTATCTAGAAATTGCAGAATTTGTTCAAAAGCTGACAATTACGATTTGAGCTGAGTTACACATAAATTTTCAAAGAATCATAAAAAAAACTTAAATTTTCCTGTCCCTAAGATTAAAACAGCAATTTATGTGTTTTCTTAGCTCTCATAATTTGAAAAATATGGCATTTTATTGTAACAACTATGGATGTTATTAACAATTACGAACTATACCTACTTTTATCATTAACTTGTTCTTTTACTTTCTGCTTATGATATTAAATGAATAATGAATGATATTTATCATTCATTTGATGATCGAAGATGTTCAATCTACAGGCAATACTTAATTTCTTTATTTAGTGCTGCAAGTTTCCCTTTATTTTCGTTGTCTCGAGGAGTATGAGTGAGCAAGCATTCTGACAGTGTTGTAGCGAGTCTGCCACACGGATGATGGTACTCAGATTGTAATAGCTCATCTCCGGCAATTGAATCATACTGGCCTGCCGTGGACATTATAGGTTCCTTTGGTACTTCTGAATCAACAATGGAGTCACAACTAAAATAAAAATGGGACAAATCAATCAACACAAAGGTTAAAAAATTAAAACTTAACTTCCTTATAAATTTTAAGTCATTCATAAGTTGTACGGGGTCAAGGCTACTATGTACTGTGCACACTTCCAGATTCCGCGATATGACTAACAAAGAAATGAACTTGAAAGTATAATTTTTAAACTTACTTAAATTATAAAACAACGTCCTGGAATGATCGATCTGTATTTATATAAATACTAGCTTTTACCCGCGGCTTCGCTCGCGTCACAAAAGGATAAAAAGTAGCCTATGTGACATATACCAATACATACAGTGCCATCTATACCAATACTTTTGTTTTCCCTCGGGAATATCAATTTTTTTCGGGATAAAAAGTATCCTATTATTTAATCCAGACTACTCAATTATAATAAATTTCGAATGTCTGACTGCGTCGTTGCTTTCAACGGTCTGTATTTGGGTTCCTTGTTGATTTTCGCAAAACTTTACGTCTGCTAAAATTCAATGCAATCGGTTTAGTAGTTACGGCGTGAAGTCGGAACAAACAAACAAACAAACAAACAAACTCACTTTCCGATTTATAATATTAGTAAGAAAGTAAGTATATATATCGATGGACCAACCAACCAACATGGTAGTCGCAATCATTTATGTAAAATTCATGCAATTATTTTCTACCATAACTCAAAATTTACCTAAATTTGGTATTGTTTTCATTTTACGTTCATTAAATGGTTTGTCCTCTTGACATTAATAACACAAAATAAGTGTCTCGTCTCTACCGTCTAACCTTTACTTAACGGTTCTGATTTCTAAGTTTTTTATAAGGAGCTTTGCGGTCCACTAACTGCGAACTCAAGTACCAAGACGACCACACTTTCGCTAAATAATATATTATCTGAGATCGTCCACGGCATTTATATATGCATATTCTAATATTATGTATGGTAATCACAGGTTATGTGAACGAGATAATGATTAAAGCATTTTAATAAATACCCGTTTTATTATGTTTGTATACATTTTAAATTATATTTCTTTATGTTTTGTAGACGTCTCTACTCAAACCCTGAAAATAAGTCGATCGCGCCTCGATAAAGTTCAATGACCTACGAAATCACAAAAATATGGACGCAGTACCTACTTATAATATAATATGCTCATTAATCAAATTAGCTCTTAAACTGTCAAACACCAAGCGGTCACCGGTGACCGCGACCTATTGTTCTTTAATTGTGTCTATAAAACCGGTACTCGACGAGTTAATGTTTTGTTGTTTACATACTTAGCGTCAGATAATAAAGTGCTGTGTCTAATTTAGTTTTGATGACCATCGTTTGGTTGGTAACAGTGTTCAGAGATATTTATAAGACTGAGCGAGCAATGAAATTAAAACATGCGTTAGTAAAGCAAGAAAAACAACTCCCACGCATAACCCTATTTCGTTAAACGGTGATGGTCACCTAGATAACTATTTATACGTCAGATTCGTCCAATATTTTGTTTCTCTTTGCCCTTGGAGTATTTCCTGCATTTATCGAATTTAAAATATAAGTACCTATCAACAATGTTTGAATATGAATTAACGTTTATCAGTTAGAATTTTTTAAAGATCTTGAAGATTTCTTTCATTAATTACGACTTATGAACGATAATTTAATAATTAAATATCATTGCTGATTGTTATAATTTTCCTACTTTAGGAGTTTAGGGTAAGCATTATTATTTATAGATTTTTATTTCATTATTTTATTTAATTTTTAGTGCATATTAATGTTTGTGTTATTTGTAATAACGAATAGGATTAGTTTTTTATAAACGCACTGAAATATTAGCAATTTACTCAAGACATTATTGTATTTACTTAGGTATTTAGCAAGTGAATACGGAAATACATATCTACCAATTGTGTCAATGTCAGTTATTTCATAATGTATGTATAACATAAAACATCTGCTAC